GGGGGGTGGGGGTGGGGGTGGGGGAAGAACTTCAAAGCAAAGGGCCGTGCTCAATGCTCTCACTGGTATTTTCTCGTTGGACCTTAAGGATAAGGAGGTACAGATGTGTGCCAGAAACAAAGAATACGCTGCTGGATAACTTGAATTCTCCCAACGATTACTCCCTCCAAGACAGAAACACTCTCCCGTGCATCCTGGAAAGGTAAACAATAGGACAGTGGAGTAGAGTAGAACCCTACCTAGTCAGTAAATATTTTCGAGTCTTACAAAGCAGGAGTTGCATTTTGCTTCTTAAACTTATAGTATTGTTTGAATCCATGCCTTGCAAAATGCATGATAGACAGAATCACATGATCCAAAGCGAGAAGCCGGCATTATTATTTAGGTCACGAAACTCTAGCCTACGGTGCAGCCGGGCGTGTCATAAAATCCTCGATAGACGGTGTACAGTGCACTGTCTGTGACGTAGGCTATGCAATCTCTGAACTTCTTCACGATTTCATACTTCTATAGATCGGTTTCACGTACCGCCAACACATAATGGCGTTTCTTTTATTTATTCGAAAGCAATCCCAAACGATACTTTGACAGGTAAAAACATTGAAACACGTAAGTAAAATCAAATTTTATAATTTTCGCCCTTAACTGAGGAAGACCAGCTAGGAAGCTTTCCCTGCATCTTCTGTTTCCAAACCGGAAACGGATGAAATTGGATCGTACGTAAGGTTTCACAAAAATTTCACATGATGTCCATGCCAGGAAATGCAGTACTACTGACGTCATGGAAAACCGGAAGTGACTTTACACTAAAGGATTTTCGAGGTCACGCATTTAAAAAAAAGTTACAGTACTCTCGGAACTTCAGCTTTATCCTCTGTCCAGACCGATTGTGGAGAAGACAAAAAAGAAATTGAGGTTTTTTTAAAAAGAGGTGTAATCAATCAGGCTGCGACTGTTTTCAACTAAAAAAAAATATTTACCTTTACATGTAAAAATGGAACCAATGAAACTTGATCGTTGGCTAAGAGTGGGATATTTAACGTTTGTTTTTCTGCAATAGATTAAAAACAGTTAAAAAATCTATAGGCTCATTTCGTCAAAATCAAACAGCTGGTTACGAAGTTAATGGTTAATCAACTTTATATTTATTTCTAGTGTGTGAAGTAACTTAATACGTGCCTCCCGTTGCGTTACGTACTTTGCGCATGCTGTTATGTTGGATTGACTGAGCGGGTGCGCCAATCTACAGTTCGTCGCAGTTTGGTTGGTAAATCTGAGAAATTTGAACGTGCTTTTTAGCATATTATTTGAATACGAAGTGGACTGCTGCAGAAAAGCGTAGTTGCTGGATCTCTTGAAAAATATTGTAAACTTGTAAACTGGAGCTGATATCGACTAAATATTCCATGAGCGTGGCGTGAACTTGCCGTGGCAGCAGCTGATCGTGCTCCGAGATAAAGGCAAGTTGCTCGAAAATCGGTTTTTATTAATGAAAACAGTACATTTAAACATCAGTTATGTAGATGAAGTGTGTCTGGATTTATCGAGGAAAATATAATTTAGCAATAGCACGTGTATTTTGGTATTTTTTTCGGCCCTAAGGACTGTGACCTTCACTTTATTCATGTGAACAATTAACATCACTGAATTTATTTGTTAGTGTTTTCAATGTGAAAACGGATATCTACAGCAGCTCTTGTAAAGCTCTTGGGGTTTCTTCGCGAAGAGAAAGCTAATGGAGCTCAACAGCGTCCAGTATATAATTTAACTGAATTTTACTTGAACGATAGAGAGAACAAATACTTATTTAACAAATGGAGGTTTAACAATTGTCAATATTAACCCATTTGTTTGCGCAAGACATTGTGCAGTTCACGGGTCGGTATCTTTATGCTGCGGATTTTATATCAAAATGTCAGCCACAACTGATAAAACAAAGAAAGAAAAGAATGCCAGTGTTTTTAATCGCCCATTGCTTCTTAATATGTCCCGGTGTAAGCAACAGGGGGCGAATTGTGTGAGGTTTGCAACACACTGAATTGAAATGTTCGAAGTGATTTCATAAATTGTTGGCGGTATTTTTGGACTACATGTAATGTGTGGAGTATATGAATGGGCGGATTAAATTCATTGTAAATTTTAAGGGATCTGACGGATGTACGATTAAAAATCCCGGAAAAAGAAGCTTGTGTAGTGAAACTGAATGAAGTCACAATCCTTAGCCCTTCCCTAATATATTCATTTCGCTCTTATGTTTATCTTTTCTCCAGCGGTGTTGTTTCGGATGAAGGACAGCCACTTCGTGCAATGATCGAAACTGCTCTGAGAAGTCCACTTTAACGATCTTAGCGACGGCTGAAGCGAGAGCAGGCGAGGGCGGTGTAATTCTGCAGTGAAATGTCATCACGAAGCGACTGCTGTTGTTGGAGTGAAAAGTATCATTTTCCGCCATCCCTCTATGGCTGAGAGGAAAGGCAGTCGGCCTATTAATCTTCGTATATTCGCCGGTCAACTGTTGGCCGCTGTGCAGTCCACTGTGGTTTCAGTAGCAGAGAGCGCCACCACTCGCCAAGTTCTGAAATTAACGCTTGGGAATCTCGAAATTAAAGACAAACCGGACAATTTTGAATTGGTTGAGGTTTGTTACCGAGACAGTGTTCTGGATCACGAGAGCGAGAGAGTTCTAAGCGTCTCAGATCGTCCCGTCCAAGTTCAACAGAGCTGGAAGAGCTTGCCACCGAGGGCTAGAAGCTCTTACCGGCTTTTTATCAGAGAAAAAAGCTTCACGAACGACGATACGAAACCAGAACTACTCAGACTTCACTGGATGGATTGCCACGAAAGTGTAAGAAAGAGGCAAGAGTTAGACTTCGACCTTGAATCTAAACTTCCGGATGACGACCTATGTCGATTACCAACGTTATCAGAGCAAACTTTGCTCGAGCATTTGGAGGGAAGATTTTCCCAGGGACGGATTTATACCTACGTGGGAGAAATTCTCATAGCTGTGAACCCTTTTCGATTTTTTCCTATGTACAACCCAAAGTTTATCAACGCTTACAACAACCGGAACTTGGGGTCGCTTCCTCCTCATATTTTCGCTATTGCCGATGTGGCGTTCCATCGCATGTTGCGAGAGAAGAAAAGTCAATGTGTAGTTATTAGCGGTGAAAGTGGATCTGGAAAAACAGAAAGCACAAAACTCTTAGTCCATCACTTGACGGCTTTGGGTTTAAAAACGCAAGCTTCGTCCGTAGAAAAAACTATTCTCGGTGTTGGGCCGGTTCTTGAGGTATGTACTGTTTACATCTTAATTCCCGGCAGCTTTACTCAGTTTTGTTTTGAGGTTGTAGATCTTTGATAACTCAATAACCTTTCATGTTATGTTAGCTCGATTATTGGCTGCAAATTAACGGTGCAAATGAGCCTCTAATTAATTACGTCAGGGGTTGTTTGTGTGCTCCAACTAATATTGCTACTTTAGAATTGTTCTATTTAATGTCTTCATTTGTGTCACTGGTTCTCAGTGTAACAAAATTTTCCTAATTTACATGCAACGTTTTGTTGCAAAAAGAAGAATCATTCAAAAGTTCTTTGGTTAAGAAATTTGTTAAGAAGCAAATTAACAGGATTACTTCTGGTGTTGTGTGTATTTTAGGTCATGAGAATCCATGGGGAATTTGTTTTGCAGTCTATAACTTACTGACTGGGATACCAGTTGTCATATGTAAAATAACAACAACAACAACAAACAACATGCACTTATCCTTAAAGGCTGGTTTTCACTAGTGACAGAATCAGAGTCAGAGTCCTAGTTGGAGTCGTAAGAGCACTAGTGAAAATCAAAAATCGGAGTCTTAAGTGGAGTCATAAGCTCAACGGAATTGGAGTCAGAAGAATCAGAGCATTTCCATTTCTTCCGATTCCGTTTACGACTCCATCGCTTACAATCTAGTGAAAATTAGATTGTCAGAACCAGAAGCAGAAGCAGAAGAACTAACCAATCACAAGCTCCAGAATGGAGTATTGTGATTGGTTTATTCTTACGCTCCAGCTTCTGACTCTGATGATCTAGTTTTCATTAGATCATAAGCGATGGATCAAAGTTTTATGCAAGGTCGGTGTTCTGTTTCCGGTTTAATTTTCACTAGATTGTATCACTCTGTGCCTCTGATTATAACTCTGGCTACAACTCCGCTAGGGAAGACCAGCCTTAAGCTGAATTATGTGATCAGGCACATTCAATTTTGGCATCTAAAAAGATGTGGGTCTCCAAGTGAAAAATATATGGTTATCATGGCACTTAAAACTAACAGTGACAGTAGTTCATTCACACAATTTATCAAGCTGAAAGGCAATTTTTAAACAACTCCTAAAGAGGACAGAAGTTTCACCACTGATGAAGCACCGTTGATAAAATACTAAGTGTGGCATATACATTACCCTAAGTATATGTAACTGATAAAGAGCTTATAACCAGTCTATGAGGACCAATTTAGATGATGTCATTTGTTTTTGCAATTGTACATGTTGCGTGCAACATGATTCTAAGCTAGGGCAAGGCTATGATAGAAATATTTTTCAGTTGTACCAGCATTAATAACAGTTTGTTTTCTATAGGCTTTTGGAAATGCTAGCACTGCATATAACAACAATTCAAGCAGGTTTGGGAAATTTACACAAATCCACTTCAGGCAGGATGGTGCTGTATGTGGGTATGTGACTGTGCACTGTTAATTAAATAACTGGCCCCAGTTGTTCGAAGATTGGATAACGCTATCCACCACTATCCGCTACCCACTATCCACTGGATAGCAATTGTTGCTATCCAGTGGATAAGTGTTAACAAAACAAACCACGCTATCTGCTGGATAGTGATTTATCCAGTGGATAGCATTATCCACCTTTTGAACAACCTGGGCCTGGCTTACAAGTTGCTACATTGCATTGTGGAACCCCACTAATTCAGTCACTTACTAGCTACAGTCACTACAGTGTAACTGGCAACTGGGTTCATTAAATAAGAAAATGGCTGACTGAGCTTTTGTTTTCAGGCCAGAAAAAATGGCCCTAATATATAACAAGGTGGCAGTATGATGGGGTGACTGTAAGGTGGGGTTCCACTGCAGACATTAACATGTTGCATGGGAATCTAATACATTATGTTGTGTATACCATTCATAAATTAGCTTTTATTAGTTTTGGTATGGCTCTAATATAATGTGCTTTCCAATTTGTTGTTTCATTCCCAGTGTGTTGATACAAATGTTATAACAAATTTTGTAAATCGGAATTGCCATCACTTAATTTGGAGTGCAAGCTCAAGGTTTCTAGCAGCTGATAGTTAGTGAGGGGCAAAGCCCCGAGTCAGCTACCAAAATGGACAGAAACTGAGAGCAAGCAGTCGCACTAATAATATCTTACTTAAAGGTAGCATACATGTAGCTCGGTGAGTGATTAATTACTACAGTAAGACTCATTTATTGACAGTATTTCTTACTATTTGTCCACAATACAAGGGCTTAAGCATAACTTACTTGCCTACTTTTACTATTTTGGGAAATAGCTTAAATCTGATTGGGTATGCAAGGCCATTGAATGGATGATAGACAGCTTGCTTTCGTTTTCTATTGACTATAATTAGTACATGTAGTTGGCTTGGGATTTAGCCCTGGCCCCCCTCCAATTATTAGCTGATTGAGATAGAAATCTCAGGCTTGCAATTTAAAACCAGACAAAGGGAATGGTGTGGTCGTCTTGGACGGAACAGATTACGACCAAGGTATCCTTAAAATCATCAATGACACTTCCAAATTCTGGCCCATCAAGGAAGATCCAACTTTACTGAGAGAAGGTAGACTGCAGTGACTTCTCCGAAAGTTGAAGAAAGATGGTCACCTTGCCAACCAAGTGTACGAAAACATCTATCCCAAAGGCTCTCAACCAGCAAGAATTTATGGCCACCCCAAAATGCACAAGGATTTTGAACCTAACTCAACTCCGCCATTTCGCCCCATCGTGTCTTCTATTGGAACCTACAATTATAACCTGGCCAAATTCATTCAACTGAAGATGACAGAAGTTCTGTCGAAACATGTCTTTCAAACTTAAAAAATTGGTTGTTTTCCCTAAAATCTATTAATACATGTTTGTACTTGCCTTGCTAATGAGGTTGTAATTTTGCGAAAAAGTCTGTCACTGGGCATGGGTTGCCTTCGGATTGTTAAGTTACATGTGAGTCTGTTTTTCTTTGATCAGAGCTGCGCTTAGGAAATATTTGTTGGAAAAGTCAAGAATTGTTTCCCAAGCTCCGGAAGAAAGGTAGAGATATTTTTAGTTATTTCATAGTTTGTAACTCACTAAATATTAATATATAATAAATTACAGGGCTCGACACTACCGGTAGCCAACTAGCCACAGACTAGTAGAAATTTAGTAGGTTTTCGATTTCCACTAGCCACTTTGGCTAGTCAACAAAATGAAATTGGCTGAACTAGTTTCTGTCTTTTTCAAGGAAGACAAACACAAAATTTACACTTTTCTCGGAAATAAGGTCAGAATTTCATTGTGGACATACATATATCATGGCACCAGCCATGTGGTGTTCATCATGTATGCAAATTTAACTTTGTTTACTTTTCCCTGGGTGGTTTGTAAACGGGGAACTGAACATGTTAATTTTGTTGAAAGAAATATTTGACAAACAAGACAGCATTTTCTGAAAGCACACATCAATGCTCTTTTTTGTTACGAAATTTTTTTCATGCGCAAAGTAGTGCAGAACTGTAAAGGGATAACATTTCATTTAGCGTAACAATACATGGGTGATTTGTCGTTGCATACATACTTACAAACCTACCACTACAGAAATACAGTAATTAGATGAGAAAGATTTATTTCCTTTGACACTTAAATCAGCCATTTTTAGCTGTCGAATTTTGCCAAAGACAGTTTACAGTACTGTTCAGATAGTTGCTTTGCTTTTGGAACATTTCTACAGTGCCTGTCTGTGAAGAAGTCTCGACAGTTTTTACAGTGATGTCTTGGGGGTCTCGATGTTTTTCCACGGAAGTCTCAAAAAAAACACAGAGTCCTGAAAGTCTTTTCAAGAACTGGAACTTTTTTGAAACTAGTTTAAGTACAGTATAATTACCAGCAGTATGTATTAAAGAGAGTCGCTTACATTGTGCTTTGAAGTCTTGCTAGTAATTCTGCTGTTATTGGACCTACTTGAAATTTTCACAACACGTTAATTTTGCGAATTTCGTGATTTAAGAGAAATTGCAAATTTCAAGTGACACGAATAAGTAAGTGTCGGGAACATAACACATTATGTTACTGTTGACATATAGTACTGCCATTGCGCTTTTGTTTCTTTTGACGTTATTGTACCTTTGATGAAGTCAGTTTACTAAATTGAAGAGACATGTTTAGGTAACATTACCAAGGAAATAAATTTGGTGGAACTCAAAAGCGCAAAGTTAGTGTGATTCAAAATACAAAATTTTTGCAAAATTGCCGAATTTAAGAGTCGCGAAATATGCGTACCCCCAAATTGCGAAATAAATGTGCGCGAAAATTTCATGTAATAAGGTAGCCAACAACAACGTTTGGCTAGTAAAAAAAGGTTTTGGCTAGTAACATCTGAGTTATCACTAGCCACTAGGCTAGTACGTTGAAAAGTTAGTGTCGAACCCTGAATTAATTAATTTTTAGTGCTGTTTAATGCTCTCTAATTGAAGAGTAAACTCTAATATTGTCAAGCTTTGTGTTTTTGAAAATGATAGAATTAAAATTTTATATCTTAAATATTGGTGGAATTGATAAACAAGTAAGATTAGTGCTGTCATTAATCATCTTTGCTGCCTTTTTTTGTAGGAATTATCATGTGTTTTACTATTTACTTGCTGGAACAAGTCCTGAGGAAAAAGAGGAGCTCCACCTCACAAAACCAGAGGAGTATTGTTACCTTAATCAGGTAAGCACTAACCAGCGGGCCTGGAAAGAAATTTGTGTCAGATTAGCATGCACCAAGTGGATTCTGCAGTCATGCTGGTTGACTCTGTTGGCCAAGTAAAGATTTTTTAGCGGTAAAACTTGGGAAAATTCAAATTCAGAAATACCCTAAGAGATCAAATTAAGATTGTCATAGGTTTTTTAATAAATACTACTGACAAAATTACTTGATTCTGATTGGTTAAGTGGAGTGCAGTTCAAGTCAGAAAAAAAAATTATAATGAAGATTTCTGAAGTTAGCATGAAGACACTAAAAGACTACAGAGAGTCATCTGAGGTGTTTCAAAGGTGTTTGAAGTTTACCGAAAGCCTTCTCACTTCTACTTCAGTCATTTAATTCTGAACACTTCTGGAGATTGCCTGAACCCTTCTGAAGATTTATGAATATCACCTGACCATTATCAGACATCTCTCATGATCACCCTAATCCTATAAAGATTTCGAAAGAATCCTGAAGGTCAACCATAGATTGCCAATTAAGATTTACCAAGTGACATTACTAGAAGTTTCCAAATATTTTTGGACAATTTTGAAGATATTAGGAAGGCTGAGGGCTGATTTACACGGTACGATTTTGTCGCATCCGACAAGCTTACAACAGTTTCATGTACATCAAACCTACAACTTGCTTATGACTGTCGTGTATGTCAAAAAAATGTCGTAGGATTTTAAAACATGTTTTAAAACGCTGCGACAATCATAGTTGAAATCTACAGAAAATGACATATTTTGTGACAAATTTTT